TACGAAAGTGTTGGCCCCATTTTGCCCTTCTGGGGGGGCAGCGCTAATTCAAGCTCCCCTCTTCTTTGATCGAGAAGCGCCCAGGAAGCACCAAGAGGCCCCAAGATGGCCCCAAGAGGCCCCCAGGAGGCCCCCAAGAGGCCTCCAAGACGCCCCCAAGATGCCCCCAAGAGGCCCCCAAGAGGCCCCAAGAGGCTCCCCCGAGGCACCCAAGACGCTCCTGGAAGCCCCTGGGGCCGCCAAGAGGCCCCCAAGACGCCCCAAACGGCCTCAAAGAGGCTCCCAAGAGGCCCGAAGAGGCTCCCCCAAGGCACCCAAGACGCTCCTAGAAGCCCCTGGGGCCGCCAAGAGGCCCCCAAGACGCCCCAAAAGGGTACGAGGTGCCCGAACGCCTCACGCCACGAGGAGCCCGAACGACTCACACCAGGACGAGGGGCCCGAACGACTCACACCACGAAGAGCCCGAACGACTCACACCAGAAGGAGGGGCCCGAACGACTCACACCAGGACGAGGCGCCCGAACGACTCACACCACGAGGAGCCCGAACGACTCACACCACGACGAGGGCCCCGAACGACTCACACCACGAGGAGCCCGAACGAGTCACACCAGGAGGAGGGGCCCGAACGACTCACACCAGGACGAGGGGCCCGAACAACTCACACCACGAGAAGCCCGAACGACTCACACCAGGACGAAGAGCCCGAACGACTCACACCACGAAGAGCCCGAACGACTCACACCAGGAAGAAGGGCCCGAACGACTCACACCAGGACGAGAAACCCCAAACGACTCAAACCACGAGGAGCGCTTTCTCTCCCTCCTCCTCCGCCTCGTCCTTCTCCCGCTCCCACCACAAGGAGGATGTACAAGGAGGCGGGAGGAAGGAGGAACAGGGGAGATATGCGGGGGCAGGCGGAAACACGCCTGAAAAACACGACTGTCGGCATGCTTCGCAAGAGTTGCTGTTTTGAGATGGGCTGGTGGGGATACGCGACGCGTGAAGAATTGAGATCGAATTGGCCAGAAGCCTTACGCACGTCCACGCCTACCGCCAATCGCAACACATTCCATTTCAACGATGCTCCCATCATCAACTCCAAATCCACCAGGGCCTCGTGAGCCCTGCAATATGTCTGGAAGCCCATTAGCACATCTATCATTTGCAGATCAAGCCATGAGATAATGTGCCCATGGACAATCCAACTGGACACGTAGCGGACAGCGTCGAGAATTGTAAGTGCACGAACTTTGCGCACGACGCTGAGACGTACACGACTTGGCAACATAACGAACACACACCGACACAATTCGCTCAAGGAACCGGTACGAGATAGGACGCGCGTATACTTTCCTATCCGTGCGTTTTTAAACTTAATACAATGCTCTCCCAGACGATGTTCATACTATGTGAAGTTGCCGATGCTTCTTAATGGTTTCAGGTAGTTTAGACTTTTTTCTACTCCTCATAGTCTCCGTGGCGGCCGAGTTGGACACTTTCAGCTAAGAGAAGCACAACCGATCTCAGGATTACGAGAGACAACTAAGATGTCAGCCAGAGCATTAGGGTCCCCCTTGGTAGCTTCTTAGGTCGTCGCAGGAGGTTCCAGGACCGCTCCTTGGTCGTCCAGAGCTGTCGAAGGATCTCTTGGGCCGCGTTGGGCCCCCCTGTGAACCAACTGCTCACGTGCAACACACCTTATCCGCCGTCCCCTGCTGGCCAGGGTTGCACGGCGGGTGCGATGTTTGGCTGCCCCCCACCCCCTGGTCCCGCTCCCACGTAGTCCAACAAGGGCGCCTAACTTCGGGCTCTCGCGCCGCCCCCACGGGGAGAAGAGGATGACGAGAGAAGGAATCGTAATCGAACAGCGAAGCGCGAGTACACGTCGGTCGGAAGAAACAACATGAAGTAGAAAGGCGTCGGAAGTAGATTGGGTTTCCGCCCGCCCCCTGAGGAGCAAAGAGGGAAAACCGTTCGACCATTTGACTACCTACCAGACCACCCCAACCCAACCCGAAGACCCAAATTTCGGGTTGGGGGGGGTATGGGTTCCATACGTGTTTTTTCGATGTTCCCCGACCCCCCCCCACTGGAAATGGAGGGCAAATGGAGGCCGTCGGGTTGGGTTGGGGTGGTTTGGTAGGTGGTGACCATTGAAGCAGGAAGGTGCTAGAAATAGATTGGGACCTGGGAATCCAGAAATACCTACTCTCAACGACCGGCGTGTAACTTCGCGCCCTCGAGGGCGTCCTTGGTCCAAAGTCCTGCTGAAAGGGGGCGGGGAGCGGCGGCACCCGAGCTCCCCGAGTCCGAGCCCGAGGAGCCTTCCAGAGTAGCCCTCTGAGCCCCCAGTAGTCCTCGGAGCTCCCAAAATGTTGTCCACGACAGCCCAAAGTGGCCACCACGAGAGCTTACACGCCGGCCGGAAGAAGTGGGTAAGAATATGAAGTGGGAAGGCGGATAACGTGGATTGGGTTCAGGCCCTCCCAGAGAATAACAAGTCACAGTAAAAGCGTGTCGATTCTTGAAGTAGGATGGCACTAGAAGCAGACTGGGATGATCTGGGAATCCAGAAATACCTACTTTCAACGACAGACGGGTAACCCTCTGAGCCCCAAAGTACGGCCCAAGATGGCCACTACGAGAGCTTATGCTGATCAAAGTTGGCCTGGGATTGCACACGATGTTGCAGGATGTCTCCAAAGACCACCAGGGACTTCACGATTAATCGAGGGGGGGCCTTCGGGAACGAAGGCCTTGTTCCCAAGCTTGCGCCTAGGGTTTTACTGCCTACTGAACTAATCGGACGGGTCCGCCGAAGGTGTTCCATGTCTCCACCCGTGGTCGCGCGTGCCTCGGGTGGGTCCGCCGAAGTTTCGCCTGGTGCTCGCCCATGGGCCCCTCGTGGGCGGTTGTGGGCGCCCCCGCCCTGGGTGGGTCCGCCACCCGTCCGTGGGGGGCCTCGTGGGCGCTCCCTGCCCTGGGTGGGTCCGCCGTAGATTACACAACATAGCTCATACCACTCAGCTTACACCACACATCATACACAGAATGACAAATACCACATAGTGCTTATTTTGCATAACGCTCACCTCCACACCACAATGCAATAACTCACTGTTTGGGGTCCGCGCTGGCCAAAATGGCCGCACGAAACATCACGTAAATATCTGAGGCCCCCAAGATCCCGGGAAGTCCCGAGATGCCCCAAGGTCCCCAACTGGCCTCCACAAATGCCCGCAAGGTGGCCCAGACCGCTACAGGGTGGTAGCCAATATGCGCCAGGAGGGCCCAACAAGAGCCCAAGAGCGCCCCCCAAAAGGACCAAAAAGAGACCTGACAAACCAAGCACATCATCCTGGAACTACTCTGCTGGGTGTCGGTAGTAGAACTGCGAAGGCCTTTGACATCACCTCACCTTCGTCCCCTACCCCCCCTTCCTCCCCCAGCCTGCTTTCACTCCTCGTCATTCTGTCTTTCTTCTCCAACTCCTCCTAGAGATGGAACCTTACACTGTCAAGGAGGCGTCACACATTGACAGCAAGGTCAACGACGACAATAAGAACGTCAACACAACGTGACTGATTTTGCATGAGTTCACCCCACACGGCAGATTTACGAGGACCAGCTGGCAACGAAAAAACATAAGCGCTGATTCGTAGAATCAAAGATTCTTATGGCGATGGTTTCGCTGCCAGTGCTGACTTGTGAGCACTGTCCATATTACTGCCTGCGGAGGCGCCTCTGAAAGCGTCATCCACAACGAACGAAGTCTCGGTAAGGATGAACAGAGCGTCGCAAATGATCAGGACGCAAGAGCGCACATAATGCGCCAAGGAGCTCAACGAGCAGTGCGGAGGGACGGAACGTGCGGTCAAGAGCAGGAGCGCAGACACAATCACACGAACACAAACACCGCACATCCGCGGACGATCTCTCCGCTGGCGCTGGACCCTCTCCCCACACTACCCACCACCATGGCGCAGGCACCGCGCTAGAGATGCGAGAAGGGAGCCACCGCCGGGCCAGAAACCATCCGCGGACGTCCGAAGCTTATGTTTATGTGTTGCCTCTGGCCTCCATTAGGGCGTGCGGCGCCGAGCGCGACAAGCACTGAAACCTGGGGCGCTGCCCGTGCGGGGCGCTTCGACGGGCACGTGCCTGACAGCGCTGTGCGCAGCGGTTATGGGGGAATGTTTAAACGGGCATGGACATATGGGCATGGGCAAGGTTGTTATCGGCCAGCACCCCCATCTCACCCTCCTCTCCCTCACTCCCCCCATTTGTGGTGGCCTCTCGCGCAAACGTAGCGGGGACAGGCGTAAGTTTGGGCGTGGACTCGGGTGGTCGCAAACGCCAGAACGGGCGTGGGCAAGGGAAGCGTTGTGGCTGGCGCTGCCATTAGCACAAACATGCTCACAAGCAGCAGCATGGGTGTTGTCGTGGATGGAGGCTTGGTTGGTTGTGATGAATTCTGTACATCAGTGCAGGCGCCGCCGGTGCTTTCACGCAGATAGGCGCGAGCAACACCAACGGGCCATGTGCCATGGCAGCCTCTCCTCAGAGACTGGCCGAAAGGATCAGGATACGTAGCTGATGCTCTGTATTTGTGCAGTTCCAACATTGCGCACGAACGACTCCAAGAGCGCATGTGCCCCCTTATGATCCACTCCACAGTGGGTCACTCCAGGCTGGCCCAGTGTGCAAACGCAAACGAGCATCTAACGACGGTACGCTCGCGCTCGCGATGCGTTTGCAGACCATCCGTGCCAAAGAGGGGAAAACACTGTATAAACAATGTGTAAGCAATGTATAAACTCATGCGTCGGGCCGGGGCAAGGGCAACACACTCTGAGTCTGCCGACGGAACTGCTGAAATTACGCCCGCCATTTTCAGTGGTGAAAATATACTCCTCTCCGGCACCGCAGAACAAGCGGAAAGAGTGCAGCTACACCCAATCGTATGCACAACATAATGAAATATTTGCACTTTCCGTCACGCGCAGCTGACCCAGGGTGTTTCAGGAGCTTCCAAGTCCAATCTCCATTCTGAAGGCTCGGATTCGTCATCTATCTCGCGATCCAAGCTGCAGCTGGAAAATGCGATGCACGCTCTGCTGCCAAGGCCTTTCACATAGCCGTGGTCGCGGAGTCGCTCAATGGCCTTGACTCGCATGTAGTGGCCTGGCAAGAAAACGCCTGCTGGGTTCTCCCACATCGCCTCGCGCGTCACTGAGTTGAGATAGTATGTGTCACCATCCTCCATCTTCACGGTGCGCCACTTGCCGTACTCTTCCACTGCTTCAGCATCCCACTTCTGGTGGATTCCACTGAGCATTGCATCGCGGTCTTGTTGCGATAGGACAGCGCACCTACGGAACAGGTCCGCCAACGACTTCATTATATCCTCCAACGGATGCCTCCATGTCGACTCCCCCGTGCGCTCGTTGACGAATACATGCTGGCCAGATTCGCTTGTACCAATGACCCGCTTGCCCGTCGTGGGGCCACCAAGCTGCAGATTCGGAGCCGCGTATTTCTTGGCATCTTGGGAATGTGGCCTTACAACACGCTGCAGTCGACCAACTTGGCTAACGACTTCTGCATCCTGAGACCTGCGAACTTGAGACGCACAACGTTGTTTCTTGTGATGCTCGGAGCGCGCAAGGCCCCCCCCGCAATCACACATACCCTGACCAAGCAATAGATGGGGAATGCCACTTGTGTGAACTGAGATCGTGCAGCGCATATTATGTCGAGAATGTCTTCGATGTTGATCGTCCGCGTGGTGCGCGCGTGCCAATTCTACAATGGACACTCCTTCATCATCGGCCCGTTGACCGCCCTTGGGCCGCAACCTCAAAAATATGGTGAGTGTGTGCGTGCGTGCGTGCGTGTGTGTGTGTGTGTGTGTGTGTGTGTGCGTGGTCGGTAGTCCTTCTTAGGGAGCCCACAAAGGACGTACGCGCCCAGCTATGTACATGAACACGGCCCCTCGATCCGCGAGACTGGCCGCGTGATACGAACATTGGCGGAATGCGTAATCTCGAAACCAGCGTGGATTCATGTACGTGTGCGTTCTTCTTTCGCTCCTGACTTCTTCTAGCACACCACCGATCGCTTGCACTTTACAGTGCGCGACGTCTCGAACTCTGTGCCTTCGACAACGCTCGTTCGTAATTAGCACTTCCATCGGCTGCTCGCGCTCGAAAACCCTCTGCGCCATCGGCTTAAACGTGTGCGTGGTCGCGCGCGCGCGCGCGCGTGTGTGTGTGTGTGTGTGTGTGTGTGTGTGTGTATGTGTGTGTGTGTGTGTGCGTGCGTGCGTGCGTGCGTGCGTGCGTGCGTGCGCGCGTGCGTGCGTGCGTGCGTTCGTGCATGCGTGCGTAGGTGTGTGTGTGTGTCCGTTTGTGTGTGTGTGTGTGTCTGTGTGTCTGTGTGTGTGTTTGTGTGTCTGTGTGTGTGGGTGGCACCGTAGCCTTGGCTCAAGCTCTGGCTCGAGGTTGGCCAGCGCGGCCCCCTGGGGGCCCGAGTCAGTCCTGGACTTCGGCTGGCCTGAGGGCGCCGGGAGGGGGCTCCTCCTTAGGGAGGAATTCCAAACATGCCCTCCGTGCGGCGCGGAGCACCTCACCCTGTGGGCTCCGCCGCCTGCAGGGAGGGCGCCGCTCCAAGCCACTGATCATGCGCCAGTTAAGTGCGACCCCAGACCAGAAGGGGAGGTGGACGCCATGCTAGGAGAGGAGGGCAAGGGAGGAAGCTACCGGCGTCACGGACGCCCCCCGAACGACGCGGAGCAATCTACCATGGGCGCGCCGCCATCCGCGGGGAGGGCCTAAAACCAACGTGCCGATCACGCAACAGCAAGGTGCAAACCGAGATTTTCGACGGAAGGAGGAGGGGGTGAGGAGGGATTCCAGGGATGCCCTCCGCGCGGCGCGGAGCGCCTCACCCTGTGGGCCCCGCCGCCTGCAGAAAGGGCGCAACTTCGAACCGCTGATCACGCGCCGGTCAGGTACGACCAAGACCAGGAGAGAAAGTGGAGGGCTAGGGTACGCCCGCGCTGACTTGCCCCCTGGCACTTGGGTTCGAGTACTGGACTTTAGTCGGGCGTGTCCCCCTACAGGCGGATTATGAACGACAAACAAACATAGTCAAAACATATTCCAAAAATGCCCCATGATAGCCCAACAATCGTCCATGTACTATCTCTAAGCGTTTTGGAATAATCCTCCTGTGTGGGGGACAGGCGCGATTTAATACTGGACGCGGATGGCCGCGTCCACGCAACCCTCCCTGACGCGCGGCCGCCGCTACCTGGAGGGTCTGCCGTGGGTCCCGCGGGTCGGCGCGGCGCTGCTGTCCCGGGAGGTGGCCAGAAAACTAAAAAGCTGACAGGTTGGCGCTCGATCGCCTGGTCAACAGAGGCCCTCTCGCCCCCATCCGTCCGCCCTCCCTCGACAGTGGATCGGGCGGCCCCGGTCCTCCGAGGGGCGGAGACAGCGCCCCCCGGAAGGCGGCCCCAACCAGCAGCAAAATCGGGAACAGAGGAGCCTAGCAACACAATCCAGTCGGAGCGGTGCCTGGCGACCGTCTTTGCAGTCGGCCGGGGCCGAGGGCGGTAGCCAGCGACTGGGTCATCGCCGACAAACATCAGAACGGGGACCCATCGCCCGCCCCGGAGGATCCTCGCTCTGCACCTGCGACGACGGACGCTGGCGGCTCCAGCGCCGAGGGCTGCCCCAGCGCCAGTCTGCGAGGGAAGACAACTTCGCCTGCATGGCGTGAGCTCCTGTTCCTCGTCAGGCACCTGGGCCGCGTCGCCGGACGCCAGGGCAATCTGGGATTCTTTCGCCTCGGACTACAAGAAGCAGGGCAAGGGGCGGGCGCGCCCTGAAGACGCCCCAGCACGCGTCCTGCTAGACTTCCTCAACTCGATTTGGCCCCTGGCGGCCTGTGCCAGGGGGATGAAGCAAACAAGCGGTGAACCTAGTGCGGCCTGGAGCAGATATTGCGCTCTGCGCGGCGGCGGCGCCCGCGACCCCAGCCAGCACGACGCCACTTTCCTCCGCTGTTTCTTCCGCAAACACAGCCCTGCACCTTCCCTCGCCGGCTAGGTGCCCCGACCTGGCCCACCCTGTCGACCCGGGCAACGGGGGCCGCCGTTTTCAGCCACAGGTTTGCCCGCCACGGAGCGCGGAGCGCCGCTTGCTGCCCGCCGTAGCGAACGGCGGCCTGGCCCTCCCTTTGGCTCACCCTGTCCACCAGGACAGTACGGGCCGCCCCCCATCCTTCCGCGAGCCGCCGCGGTGCCCAGGCTGATACCTGCAGCCGCCTCGCGTTCGGGATCCTGGGCCTGGTCTTGCAGCCCGCTCCCCCAACGTCTCTCTCCGCGCGCCGCCATGGCGCCGAGCTGCTGCCTGCAGCCGCCACGCTGGGGTGCCGGGCTTGGTCCTGCTGCCCGCCACCCTCCGCCACCCCAGCATTTTGCTGGACCCCCCCTGGCGATGCCTTTTCGCCGCCCCCCCCGCGCCCCCACCTGGGGAACGCGCAACCACCGCCTGGTGACCCAGGCCCCTGATTGCATCGCACCCTTGGCCCGCTGGACTCGTGCTGGCACTGCATTGCGCCCTACCGCCGCTGGAACCCAGGCGCAACAGCCGCCGCTGCCCCTGCTGGCGGGGCCCGCCGCGCCACTCGCTCCGGGCGTGACCCGTTCCCCTGAGCGGCCTTCGCCTTTTTCCCCCTCCCCTTCGGCCGCCCGCCCACCCATTTTCCCCTTTCTCTTGCAGTGTAGCACAACTCGCTACAACGGTGCCCCCGTGTTGTTGGCTCTTCCGCCAGCGCTGTTACTCTGCCTAGCCGCCGGCGCAAAACAAATATGCGTATGTGGCGACATGGTCTCTGAGAGCTCGGCCGGGCGTACACGCGCGCGCTTCGCCGCTTGCATTCGCCTTTCTACGCCCCGTCGACGCGCGCGGGGCCGCGACGCCAAAAGTATGTGTGTGTGTGTGTGTGTGTGTGTGCAGTGTGTGTGTGTGTGTGTGTCTGTCTGTCCGCGCGCGACCTTCGACAATGTTCGATTGCAGTGCGCACTTTCATCAGCTGCTCGCGCCTGAGGACCGTCTGCGCCGCCGACTTAAAAAGTGTGCGCGCGAGCGCTTTCGTGGCTTTCGTAATCAGCGCCTGACCCTCTTTGTCGGTCCCTGCGCCGTCCAGTTTGCTCATGTTCCATCTGTCTTATCCTGCATTCGCCTGATGTGCCTGTCCTGGAGCGTGAAATTCCAGGTGGGGACACGATAGCTGGAACGGCTGGCTGGACCTCACTAGCGCGTCGGAGGGAAACGTGCGCGCGTGCTGTGTGAGTGTATGTGTGTGTGTGTGTTCGCGGGCGCGTGTTTCATTGTTGTGTATGAGTGCGTGCGAAGAGGGTTATGTTGTGCATCATGTGCTTATGCTTGTGTGCTCAGATGCTGGTGCGCTCGTGTGCGTTTGCGCGTGTGCGTTTTGATGAGCGCGTGTATCGTTTGTTATGTGATGTGTGCTGTGTTCTGGGCGTTGGATTGTTTGTGTTGTGTGATGTGTGCAATACGTCGTGCGTTGCACATTATCTGTGTACATGTGTATATGTTGTGTGTGTGCGTCTGTGAGCGCGTGCTGTGTGTGGCGCCCTGTGTGTTGCGTGCTAAGGTGTGTGTGTGTGTGTGTGTGTGCGGACTCTGTGTGTGCTGTCTGTGCTTGCTTGTGTGTTGTTTATGTGAGCGTATAGACTGTGAATATTGAGGGCCATACTGAAGGCTCCCTGGCAGGTCTTGAAGGTTTCTGCGGGCACTCTTGGACGCCCTCGGTGGTGTACTCAAAACCACTTGTGGCGTTATTGGAGAGCTCGACTGAACGCTCTTTCACCGCGTGGTCTGCCCCACTCGCTGCTCATTTGCTCCAGGGTATGAACGAGTCTGGGCGGGTGTGAGTAAATCTGAGTGAGCGGCTCTGAACATGAACGACTGGGACTGGCAAATCATTTCTAAATGTGATCGGGTCTGGGTATGACTGGGCATATGTATAGATACATACATACACGCACATACATCTATATCGGAGGTTTGGGGGGGGAGATCGCAGTGGAACGTAGACCCCCAACTGGGAAATCGTTTTGTTTCGTTCGTGTCGTGCGTGTGGGCGGGGCGAAGCTGCGTGGGCGCGCGAGAGGACTGAACCCGCCGTTGGTTGCTAGGGCGAAGTCAAGACAAATGTTTCTCCCCCGTCCGTCCGTTCGTCCAGCGGTGGCCCGAGCGGTGTCCCGCGGTGTCCCGTGGTGTCCCGTGGTGCCCGCCGTTGCTATGGCGAAATCAAGACAAATGTCTCTCCTCCGTCCGTCCGTCCGTCCGTCCGTCCGGCGGTGGC